AAGTCCTGTCCTGCTTTCCAAATGGGGGCATTTTGTACTGAGTCCCATAAATCACCTGTCCATGTAGTCCAGGGAGCCACGGTATCCCTGTTCTCGGTTCCACCCGCTAAACTTCTGGGGCCTGAGGAAGCCTAGAGTCACCAAAGGAGCCAGCGGCTCCAGGCCTCTAGTCTGGCTCCTGTCCGACAGCCTCAAGGCTCTGCCCCATCACTCTTCCCCACAGTTGAGACCCCCAAGATGCTCCTCTGAGGCTTCTTTTCCTGGAAAGCTCCCCGCCCCCATTTGGCTGGAATGGCCTCTCTAACTTGAGGCTGGGACTCCCCTTGAGGTTTAGCTCAAAGCAGAAGAAAGGACATTTGAGTCACTACCCCTCTACCCAGTGTAAGCTGCCCAGAAAGGAGACTGCAGACCCCCGAGAGACAAGAAGGTTAGAATGTCCTAGGTCAGACCACTACACAGACTTCTGAGTTCGCCACCCATCTCATCCAGGAATACTGGCTTTTTGTGGGGATCCTACACATGAAGCTCAAGTTGGGGAACCCAGGCCTCCGGCTAGGTAAGACTCCTCAGGCTACTGTGGTCTGAGATTCCACAAAAAGCGGGGGTTCCTCTGCCTCCAAACCTAATCAAGGACAGGGTTAGAAGCCCTAGGGTGACCACAAGTGAGCAGTTGCTGGCACTCCATCAATAGAAATCTAAGAAGCTGGACACTCAGGCTCATGCTAGTTGGGAAATGTTGCTACTGCAGTTGTGTTGCTCCTGGGACATCACAACTTGCCCATGGTTGGTATGGACACAGTAGCAAAAGCCAGGGACAGCCCAGGGGACCTGCTAATCCAGGAGAAGGTCTCCTGCCCAAGGGACCCATGGGCATCTCCACCAACTTCTATACCACTAGCCTGAATCTTCTAATCCAGGGGTTAGGACAAATGTAATAAAGAATGATAAAAAGCTTGATTAGGCCTTCTTGGTTAGTTAGGGCTTCTGAGGTCCAAATACGAATGGTTGAAAGGTTTTGAAATAGCTATTTCAAGCCAGATTACATCTAGAAGCTTGAGTGCTATGTTAAAACTTAGAGTTAGATTTTTTTTTTTTCGTAGAGAAGATTTACAAGTCATGTCCAAGTTCCTGGGTCCACAGAAAAACCTGGCCTGTAGCTGTCTCCTCTGGCCTCATGCAGTGAATGCCATTTGCCAGACAGTCTGGGGGTTAGGTAACAGCAGGGAATCAGATGAGACCCAGCCCTGCTCCAGCACCCAGCTCCAGAAGATAGCCAGTGTCTTTCCACGGTGAGAGCCCACCAATACGTGGGGCAGACCAAACAATTCTTACTAGAGGACTGGCCTGCCCTGAGCCCCTCGGCCTTGTGCAGATGCCAGCAGAAGTTCGTGGGGCCGTATGGCAGACGTTTCCTCGGCCTTCTAGCATGTTAACAGGCCGCAGTGTCCTGAGGTGCCCATGCTTGTGACAGCTGCCAATCACAGTCCCTGTGTTGCACACAGACAGAACCCCAAAAGGCAGCTTAGACACAGACCTCAAAGATAGAATTAAAGAGACTTGAAGCTTGTTTTCTTCTGCCAGGTTAACTTCAGTAGACCCCAGACAGGAACAAGGCTTCTGTGCTCTGAGGTGACCCACTACTGTAGGCCGAGTGTTCAAAATTTGGAGGAGGCCAATACGGCAGCTGGCACAGGACTCCTGGGCTGGGCAGACAGACAGCTGTCCTGAAGGCTGAGAGCTCAGCATTCCATGCGTGTCAGCACCTCTATAAAACCCAGCCACTCCCTCAGCTGAGGGGCTAGGGAAGGGGGGACCAACTGGTCAGCCCTCGCTCCGGGCTTTGTGGCCTAGAGGCTGACCCTTACACGGTCCCACTGGGACCATGCCACCTGCTGGGCGGAGAAGGGATGCCACCTGGAACTGTTGGGCACTGAAGCCAGGTCATGCCAAGAACCCACTGCACCCACCCATGAATCAAGACAAGAAGGCAACAGCTCGGGGCCCCTCCAGTCTCACAGGACAAAGGAAAATAAATGACAAGTCCAGGCAGTCTGATATGGCTGGGTGACCTTGAGTGAAACCTCGATCTTCTTTTGTAAAAATGGAAAAGGCCGCAGTTTGCATCTGCTGGTTGCCAGAAGACCCGTGAGGCACAGCACAAAGTGCTCTCTGCACATAGCTAGCCCTGGACAAGCCCTGCGTGTATGTGTGATTTTCAAGACCTGTGTGCACAGGCAGGGCCATGGGCAAACAGCCACACTCTGGGCCAGGCTGTGTTCTGAAGGACGCTCGTGGTTTGATGGCACAGCTGTTGGGGTCTGCTGGGCTAAAGCACAGAGCAGATAGGGAGCTGGCGGGCGGGGCGTCGAAGGTGGGAAGGACCAGGGTAGCTGGCTCTGTTGGCCTTGAGCCTACCCAGGTGGACCCTTGACCCCTTCCCTCGGTCTACAGGGGAACGCCTCCTCCCAGGGCAGCTTCCTGACTTGCCTTTCTACTTACCTCAACCCCAGCCCCCAGGCAAATCACTTCCCCTGCTCCAGAGAGACCCAAGGGTCATTTCAGTCCTGTTCAAGACTGGATGCCTTCTCCAGAGTCAGCTGGTCTGTGGCCAGGCAGCCAGGCTGGGATGGGTGCCACACACGTCCACCCCCTCGGGGGGCAGCACCCCAGGCCCAGCCACCTGTCTCCCTGCTTTGAAACATCTTCTCCTCGGCACCTTCCTCTTTAATGGCTGTAGCATCTGTAACAGCTCCACTTCCTTCTCCTTCCTGCCCCCCACCCCGCCCCTCTCTCTCTTCCTGAGGCTTACAGCCTGGCTTGGAGTTCATAGCTGCAACACACAGACTCGTGCACATACCCACACATGTGCGCGCTCACACACACACAGCTGTGGAATGTTTTCCTGCTTCTGGGGTTTATGGCTCCGGGGCAAGCGCTCCTTGCCACCTCCCCAAGGCCGTGACATCTTGCCTATTCCTTCTCCCCCTTTGAACTCCTGCAGGGAGCTGAGGCTGAGTTAGAACTGTGGACCACTGAGGGGAGAAGTGGCAGGCATGGGAGACCCCACCTGAGTTGCTCAGGGGCAACCATGAAGCGCCCCAGCCCCCACCACCAGTGTTCATATAGCAGGGACTGGTTTTCCCATTTGGAAAGGGAACTGGCCCCAGACTGAAATCAGCCCCGCCTCCCTGGATTTTCATTCATTCTTTTAACAGCCATTCACTTCTCTGGTATTTGTTGAAGACCCACAAATACTAGGTTGGGCTTGAAGGGGCTATGGCAGAGAGCCAGGCAGACAGATCCCCTGCTCAAGACCCAAGCAGTTCAACACCAGCATCTCCATCAGAGAGAGTGGTGAGGGCCAGGATAGGAAGGCTGTGGGGTTGGGGGAGGGGCAGAGGAAGAGAGAAGGAATCTCTTGGCTCACTATCTGTCAATCACAGAAGTCTTTATCTCAGACACACTGTCCAGGCTGGGAGTGAACCAGGCCTTAGCCGGAACAAGGGACAGGAAGCGGAAGCTGGGGGAGATACTGTATCTGACAGGAGAGCCTAGCACGTGCTAGGGGTGGGGTGTGCGTCTAGGTATGGATATGGCAGCTTGGGATCTCTTTGAAGAGTTAAGCTTCCTCCAGAGACTTAGAAAACCTTGGAAAAGCCTTAAACTGAAGAACGACAGGGCCAGGTGTGTCTCAAGTTGGATATTTCATTGTGAGCAGAAGAACTGGATCTCAGACAACATCAGACAAGGGGCTTCCAGAAAGGGATGTGGGAGTTGGCAGTTGAGTAGGGGTGGAGCAGCCAGGCCTCACAGAGACAGGAAGCCCACAACCTCTCCTAGAAAAGCCCACTAAGGGTGTATTGGTACTTGAGCCTGCTATACCCCAAGGTCTAGGTACCAGGGCGAGGGATGTAGGGGATAGCCTTCTGGCCCATCCAGCCACCAAAGGAACTGGAGCAGCAGCATGGACAGATCTCAGGGGTCGTTGTACAGGAGCCAAACCCTGAAGAACACACACTATGCGATCCAATCTTAAGTTCTATGAAGTCAGGCCCAGGCAGAAATCAACAATGGTGCTGCCTCTGTTAGGGAGCAGGGAGTAGCTTGCCAGAAAGGACATAAAGGAATGTCCTGTCCAGGAGCCCCAGGAGTGAACACTGAGAATCCCACAGGTGTGTGCACCTGCCAGAACCCTTCAGCCTATGGGTTTAAACCCTGTGCACAAATAGCAAAAGAAGCTGATCACAAACCCGAGAAAGAGCTGGCCTGAGAAGCTCAGACCACACACCCGTTGTTCCTTGGCTGGGGGTTGAGGGGTCCCTGCCAGACAATTCCTCTATGACATTTTGCAACAGGAGAAGGTGATTTCCTGAAGTCAGGCCAAGGAGCTGTTGTTAAAAGAGGGAAGGAGAGCTTTAAGAACAACAGCTTTCCAACTGAGAAGGTCCTGTCTGCTTGCTTAAGGTAAGAAACAATGTAACTAAACAGAGAAGGCGGTTGAGTAAAATGGGCCCGTGGGCAGGTGAGCCCGGAAGCTTATCTGCTGGTCCTCAGAAAAGAATTGGTTAAGTTTTAAGTTTTCTCACCTCCTTTGACCTGTGACCCAAATAGCAGCACCCTTGACATGTTCATCCTAGGACAAAGACATGGATGGAAAAGAACAAGAAGGTGGAGGGTCTCATTTATAGGAACTTGCTCCCCCTACCCTGAGAGTCTTACCTCTAAAGGAAGAAACACAACTTCATTGAGGGAATGAGAGAGAGAGGGGGGCGGGGGAGAGGAAGGAAGAGAGAGAGGGGAGGGAGAATCTGAGGCAAGTGCAGGCCACATGGTACGGGGCATCAGCTGTTGGACCGTCTCCATGTGTCACTGGACACATGCTGCCTTGGGGGCACTTAAGCCCTCCTTGTGGGCGCTGCCACAGCTGCAGTCAGGGCCGCTGAAGAAGCGAGGAAGTGGACTCCTTTTCTCCCTGCCCTGGAGACCGGGAAGGCCTTCACCACCTTCTCCCCAGCCGGTACCTTCCTCCTGGTCCATGGGGGCAGTTGTAGCCAAACTGCTCCTCCCTACGCTCAGCAGCCTGGCCTTCCTCCCCACTGTGAGCATCGCGGCCAAGAGGCTGTTTTACATGGAGGCCATGGTCTATCTCTTCACCATGTTCTTCGTGGTGGTAAGTGGGAGCCTAGGATGAAGACCTCACAGGCAGGGTCGGTACCACTGTCTTGTGCCAGGTGATGGAGGAAGAGGATTTGGAAGAGAAAGGTATGGGTGGGGGTATCCTGTTGACTGGAAAGAGAGGTTTTCTGGTGTCTGTCTTTCTCTATGGACCTCAGTTTACCCGGCTGTGCCAGGAATTTGGGAGAGGGGAGTGGCTGACATGTGACTGATGGCCCTGTGTAAGTTAGTTGAGGAAAATTTTTGCAGGCTGCTTCTTCTTGGGCTCCCCGCACCCTCCTCTCTACCAACTTTGTCCCGGAGTTGCTGAGCCAGGGAGGACAAGGGGTGAGTGAGCAAGCTTAGCAATGGACCCACTAGGTTGAGGGAAGGTAGAGGACCTGCGTGGATCTGACTCCAGAATCGGAAGTTCCTCCATTGAGAAGGACCAGCCTCTCTCGGAGTCCTTTCTTTTTCATTCTGTTAATGTGTCTGGCTGGCTGCTTCTCAGTTCCCTCTCCCTTCTGTTCCCTGGTAACGTCCTGGAGTGAGTCTCTTGTTTTTCAGGGGCATGTCTGGCACTGGCCAGCTTCTCTGAAGCCTGGTGTCAGGGCCTCTGCTTCTCCTCACCCCCACCATGTGTCTGTCTCTCTCCCTCCGTTTCTCTCACTTGTCCGATGTCTAGTTTTCTCTCTGCCTCTGTCTCTCCTTTCTCTGGGTCTGTGTCCCGCCCTTTTGATGACTAGAATTACACCCCCATGGAGTTCACCCTCCTCCTCTTCTCCCTGATCTGTCCTCCTCTTGTTTCTTCTCCTTTCCCTCTTTGTCTCTCTGGCTTTATCTACCTGTCCATCCAACTTGCTTCTGTCTGTCTATCTAATCTTCCATCTATCTAATTGTATAATTATCTACCATCTATTTATTTCTCATTTGTCTTGTTGTTCTAATATACCTATTCACTATCTCTATCTATCTATCTATCTATCTATCTATCTATCTATCTATCTATCATCACTCTAATATCTGTCTACCAACCATCTCTCCCTGTCCATTCACCTACCCATCTATCCTCTCTGTCTTAAAGCTCCCCCCATCACTATGCCCCGGAGTCCTTCTGAGTACCCTCACACTGGTCCTCACTGCTGTCCTCACCAGGGGCCACGCCATCTCCCTCACTGCTCCACAGCCTCTGTTTCTCTCTATCACACCCATCCCTCAGGAGTTTGTGTGGTGTGTGGCCCACACGTTGGTAGGATACGTGCCCAGGGTTGGCAAGCAGCCTGTTAGTCTCCTCCTTAAAGTAATCAAAGCTTTGGAAAATAGTGTCCTGTCACTAGGTCCATCTCTCCCAGCAGCAGGGTCTCAGTAGGCAAGAGCCTGGAGTGTGTGAGCATACTCAGCTGGTTCTGAGTGAGTGAGGCTACGAGCACACACACACGTGTGTTCACACATCACTCGATATCCTGAGTAAGCCAGAGTGACTGTCTAGTGGTGGGAGAAGCCGCCAGCGCTTCTGGGCTGACAGCATTCAGAGAGGGGTTGGCACATGTCTACCTCCTGGTTGTGGCGGTCCCAGCAGTGAGTTTCTCCAAGGCAATTGGAAGCTCTAGGGTTCTGAGTTCACTTCAGGAGGGGAGGATATTAGACCATGACACGCCTCAGCAACCAGGGTGAGGAGGGGCTCACCATCACTCATGAACCTAAGGTAGTGATTTACATTTGATATTAGAGAAAAGTTTCAGAGAAGCTGGGCCACCAGTGTCACCATGAGTACCACTGAGATCCTGGTCTACCTACAGTACTTTCCCACACTTCACTTGTTCCTCATGAGACTCTGGTCAGTCAAGGTCAGAGCCAAGATGAGACCCAAGGTCAGGGACAGAAACCAGGTTCTTGTGGCCAAGGCCCACATTAGATACAGCCCAGAAACTCACAGGCTCTGTTTAAGTCACCCTGCCTGCCTTGGCTTGGGCTGGCCTACAGCTGCTTCTGTGCCAGCCTCAGAGGCCCACCCTGCCCCACCCCACCCAGAGTGGCAGGGCCAGCTGTCTCCTATGACAAATGTCCCCTGGCCTCAAAGCCACAGTCTGTGCCTCCCAGAGTTCTGCCTTCCACGTGGCTCCTCCAGGACCCTCCATGGCAACCACCAGTTGTGTGGTGTGCTGATGCAGAATACAAGGATGGCTCTTGGTGTCAGTTACCCAAGAGTGGGCCTGATTTATTCCAAAGAGTCCTGCTCTCTCCTGTCCTATTCTTATAGCCATCGCATCTAAAAGCAGGTTCTAATCTAGGAATCTTGGACAGCAGCGTCCTCTCCGTATGCTGAGCAGCACAGCAAATATGCTAAAAAGAATGAAGGATTTGAGTCTTAATCTTCCCGGGAGTCTCACAAGGGAGACAGCTGTTTCCCTGAGCCTATTGACTCAACAGCACACAAAGCCACGATTAGATAGTATCAGCCAGTGCCCACATGTTGCTTTCAACATGCTTTTGGGGGGGGGGGGCTGGGGGCTGTTTTCAATGCTTTGCTGATTTTAACACATGGTCTTAGCCCTGGTCACCACATCTCACACAAACATACACTGCTCTGAGTCAGGGGTGTAAAAGAATCACAAAGGAGAAATAGAGAATATAGAACAATCAAAGTTCATACGTTCACCTGAGCCTGAAGGACTTGGTTACGTTAGAAATTCAAAGGTTGATTGCACTGTTTGTTCCAGAGGTGAGTTCATTCTCACTGTGGGTGAGTGCAGCATGCTAACTGATCTCAAAGCACAATATTAACTTGGTTTTGGGTTGGGTGAAAGTTTGATTTGCAAAGGCAAACTTTAAACATCAGTTCCAAGAACAAGCATTCCCTTGTGGGGTGCTGTGCTATGCAGTTATCATCAGGGTCTCCTTGCCAGCCCCGCAAAACAGGTGCTCTCACTCCATTGGACAGATGAGACCCCGAGGGACCAGCCTCTTGCTTGCACCCCTCGGCTAGATCTGCTGGTTGAACAGCAGGGTTGGAGCTCCTGCCACACCCAGTTATGTCCTAGTCCAGCCCGGGTTGGGCCAAATCCACCTGCCCTCTGGGGAGGGAGTGTACCCATCACTGCCTTGCCTCCTTGGGCAGGAGGTGCCCCAGGGAAGTTCACAGTCACACAGAGCCCAAAAGAACCTCAGGGCTTAGGACAGTGACATCCCCTGCTGGAAAACCTCTGGCCCTCCCACAGGCAAGCACACTGTGCTGGGATCCAGTCTAGTAAGGCTCTTCTGCTCCTCATGGGGGAAGGTACCGATGTTTCAGAATCTCACAGAGAGAGAGTTTTAGTTGTTCATGGGGGCCTATACAACAAAAGGGAGCACAGATGTTACAGAAGGTGGGCTCAGGTTGAGTGATGTGGCTTTGTAAGGAGCTGGAAGAGCAGGAGCCCCTCTCAGAGCTGAGTTTCTTTCCTCTTCTGCTCGAGAGCTTCCATCTGGCCCCACCTGAAGCTTGTCCTCCCCTGAGCTAAATAGAGCTCATACCTAGTAGGTTAGCCTCCTCTTCCCCAGTGTCCCTTTAAAAAGGTGCAGCACCCAAAAGCTCAAGGCACTATCAAAGCTCTGGGTGAGTCTGACCTGACACAGAAGCTGGACCACCGCCTCCCTCCCTTCCCCTGGATGCTCTCAATTGACTGACAGTCCACGTGCAACCGCGATCAGCAGGAGGTCTCTAAGCTTCTAAGGCGGGCCCCACCGTGCTTGCCTGACACATCCATCACCCAGGGTCCCCAGCCCCCTGTGGTGCCCCTGCTGCCTCCAGACAAGAGCTGTTTTCCAGCTTGCCTGCTCCCTCCTGCTGAGCTGGGCTCAACCAAGAGCCGATTGTGTTGGCTCCTGGGCTTGTTTGGGCCAGTCGCACTTGTCAAAATAATTATGTCATGTAATTAAATATTACTTAAAACGATGAAATGTGGAGAGAGAGAGAGAGAGAGAGAGAGAGAGAGAGAGAGAGATATTTTCTGTAAGAAATAAGTTGACTGCTTGAAAATATTTCATATAGGGCCTTTTGCTTTAGAGCAAATCTGTTCAGCTACACGTCATGAAGAAGCCTGCTAGAGTATCGGAGAGAGGTGCAGAAAAGAGAGCGGCAGGAATCAGCGTCTGTTTTGGGGAGTCTAAGGTCCTCCTCCTTTTTGAAGGAACAGGGGTCCAAGATTAAAGGCTCACATCCAAAGATTGATGCGGGAACACGTGTGCACTTTCACGTCAGCCCAGGGGCAAATGGTGTGTGTGTGTGTGTGTGTGTGTGTGTGTGTGTGTGTGTGTGGTGCTTTAGGGTCCCCTCCTTAGCAGGATTCATCTGTGTGACTACCAGCTTTGGGCCAGTGGTAAGAGAGTCTGAAAGTGATATTTACTTCTAGGCCTCAAGGACTCACCTAGCTAGGGGGAGTATCCAATTGTGTGCCCTGATAAGAAGGGGAAGCTGACACACAAAGCCGCTAAGGTCTCGCAGCAAGTGAGGGGTCTGTGGCTTGGGACCAGCTCTTGCCCATCACTGATGCTCACGGCCTGCTGACCTCGTGTGCTTCCCCTGCAGTTCTCCCATGCCTGCGATGGACCCGGCTTGTCTATGCTGTGCTTCATGCGCCGCGACATCCTGGAGTACTTCAGCATCTATGGGACGGCGCTGAGCATGTGGGTCTCACTAATGGGTGAGTGGCTATCTCTGCCAGTGGGTGGGAGCCAGTCCCCAAGACCAGCCAGAGCCCAGCCCATCTCTGAGATCCTCTCCCTCCTTTCTGCTTTGCAAAGCCAGCGACTTAATCTACTAATTAAGAAGCACACACATTTCTTAGCTGCCTACAGTCTCACTTTTCACGTCCTTCAGCGATGTCTGTAAACACTTGTGACCCTGGAAAAGCAAAGGCACACAAAGGAGAGACCAAATGTGTCTCCACACTCAGTTCTGCAGAGACCACCATGCCCTCAGTTCAGAGACTTCACCTCCCAGAGCATCCTCCAGGCTCAAGGGAACATTTGCTCTTAGGGGTCATCTTCAGTCCTGGGTTTTAGGCGTGGGGTCATTCAAAATCCTCACCTTGGACCTGGGGTAAGGCTTAGTGGTAGAGCACTGGCCTGGTTCCCTCTCCAGCACTGCGAAAATTTGAAAAAGAAAGAAGATGTTCTAGTTAGGGTTTCTATGGCTGTGAAGAGACACCATGACCACAGCAGCTCTTATAAAGGAAAACATTTAATTGAGGCTGGCTTACAGTTTCAGATACTTAGTCCTTTATCATTGTGGTGGGAAGCATGGCTGCATGCAGGCAGACTTGGTGCAGGAGAAGGAGCTGAGAGTTCTGCATCTGGATCTGCAGGCAGCAGGAAGAGAAATGAGGCACACTAGGCCTGGCTTAAGATTCTAAGACCTCAAATCCTACCCACAGTGACAGGCTTCCTCCAACAAGACCACACCTACTTCAAAAATCACACCTCTTAATAGTGCCACTCCCTGGGGGTGGAGTGGGCCTTTTTTTTTTTTTCAAACCCTCACAGAAGGGACGGAGGGAGGAAGAAAGCAGGAAGGATGGAGGAAAGAAGAAAAAGGAATAAGGAAGAGAAAGAAAGGGAAAGGGAAAGGAAAAAAAAGAAAAGGGAGAACCAAACATACTCAGCCTTGTTTCTCAGGGATGCTGTCACAGGTGGCTGTGTTTATCTGAGGGTCCCTCCTGAGACCCAGCCCTATGCACCACTCACCCACTCACATATCTCTGGTCTTGAGACTTTTGTTTCAGGACTCCCAGGAAATATCGATTACTCGACCTACCATGTAATTCCAGCCACCCTGATCCGGGGAAGCAGCATCTCCTGTTTCCTCCAAATAAACGAAAATTCAGACCCTGTGGGGACCAAGCGGGGCCTTTGGGTCCTTCAGACTGAGAGGACACCCAATGGGTCCCCAAGGGTGGAGGCACAGCCAAGAGGAGGGAAGCAGCTCACCATGCCCATGCATCTCTCCAGCCCTGGCCGACTTTGATGAACCACAGAGGTCAACCTTCACGATGTTCGGTGTCCTCACCATCGCCGTGCGGACTTTCCATGACCGCTGGGGCTATGGGGTGTACTCAGGCCCCATAGGTACGGCCATCCTCATCATCGCTATGAAGTGGGTGAGTACTATGTGTGTCTCGGCTGACAGGGTCCAGGGACCCTGCAATTCTCCCATGACCTTGCTTTCTCCTATATGGGGTCCTATACCTCATACCCTTATATGAAAGTGGACTAACATAAGAATTGAGTCAAAACCCCTAGAGTCCCTAGAAATGGTGACTCGTGCTTAAGCCATATTTCCTGATGGCTCATCAGTAATTACTGGTCCTCAGTAAAGCCAAAACTCCTTTTCCAAACTCTGTGTCCAATACCCATATGGACTGTTTCTAAACTCAGGCACGTGCATGGCTTTTAATGTACCCAGAGATCAGGAGACCACTCATCATCACGACCATTACTGCTATTATTTCGTCAACATCATCGTTATCATTCTGAGAGACAATGGCTGCTTACAACAGCTGTTTGGAGAGCAGCTAGGTTGATCTGGAGAACCTGCCTGAAGGGAGCAAGCTTTGGATATAGTTCTTGTGAGGAAAGAAGGTTTGAGGTGGGGGTGGAGCAGTTTTAAGTAGGACTACCCCTGGAGGATGCCCTGGTGCCTGTCACCTACTCTGCCCTCTGCAGTCCCAAGGCACTCCTGGCCGCAAGGCCTGGAGCCCACCTAAGCTAGCCAACATGAACAAGGGTCCTGATGGCAGACTAGACCCAGGGATGTCTCCCGGGCCCCACTCAGAGCAGTCAGTCCCAAAACACAGACCTGGAAGGTCAACAGGCTTTAGATCAAGCAGGTGGCAGCCCAGGCCCCAAGTTCTCACCTTGCCTGTGCATATTGCATGCAAGACCACTTTGGCTCTCAGGGCTCCCCTAAGTAAAACCCCAGCAGTGTAGAGCAGGGCAGGCAGTGCTTCGGAGGGAGAGAGGGAGAGAGGGAGGGAGGGAGGGAGGGAGGGAGGG